GCACGTTTGCCTAGTTAGAATTGTTGTATATATATAGTTCTTTAGTTTTTATCTTACTAGTGATAAATCCTAATATTATTCTCCCCAATCAGATTTCTTTTGTCTGCATAAACCTTCTCTCAACTTATAGCAATTATGTGGGGGGTTAGAAAAAATTGGCCCAAATTAAACCCACGACACCAATCCAGAGCCAAAAATCACCAAGTACCCTGATTCATCTGGTCTTGGAGCAGAACAGGTGATTTGCTCCAGAGAGCAAGGTCTAGGTGGCACTGTCTGTGTACTCTTCTCAGTTCCTCATGAGACAGTTCAAATGAATGAATAAATATTTGTGTGAGATTAAAGGCTTTGGATCAGATAGTCAATAAATCCCACAAGGAGAAAAGTAGCACTTTCAATGACCATCAGATTTCCCAGTCAACTCAAAATGTCAAGAAATGGTACTCATAAAAATAAAGGTATGTTACCAGCTTCTAAACATGGGTTGTGTCCCAAGCACTGACTGACTGTACCTTAGAGGCCAGAGCCTGTGTGCGGCACTTTCTGAAATTACTTCATGGAAAACATATGAGCATCTCCTGGGAAAAAAGAAAAAAATTCTAAAGAGAAACATGCTGAGATAGGATGAGTATTACTGACATCAGTCCAGGGCCATTCAGCGGAATGATAATGTATACAAGGGGGGTGATTTTATACTACAATAAAAAATGCAGTACACAGATGAATGAGTGATATTGCCAAAAACAATATGAAGATCTGAAGCTTTCACAGATCAGTGTAACAAAAAACACTTGTGTTGCAGGAAGTTTCAAGTGGGAGCTGAGAAGTGTTCCTGTCAGTCAGATAACTAAAAGTCTGAAAGGTAAGTTACATATTCCTGAATGACCCACCTTTGTAGTCAAGATTGTCAATCAGCCTTGGTTAAAATACATGTAAAGGCTGTAAACTGCTTCCAGAAATGACTGAGAGTCCTCTGCATATTTGAACAGCTCAGCTGATTTAATGACAAAAGAAATAACTTTCTCCTCTAAATCTCTGCAAATAACACAATTCAATGAAATATTAAAGGTGTACAAGTCATCTGCAAATATTACATGTCCAAACTGCTATGATGTTCAATGTATTTCATCCTGTAGGTGACAGAATATACATACAGAGTAACATTGAGCTAAAGGAAGACCCTGAGAGTACTCTAAATGTATAGAAGAAGAATAAGCTGATTTAGGGACTGTTGCTTGCTGTTCAGTGTAAAGATTGGATTGGTGAATACTTGTTACAAAACCTGTAGATTTCATCACCCTGAGCATAAAGATTCACAGCCACAGAGGAAGTGTTAAAATCAATAACACAGAGAAATATCTCCAAACTGTGAGGAAGTCTCTTGGATTCTGACAGATAGCCTAATGACTTCATGTGAAGCACAGTAAGGCACTTTCCCAGGGAAGCAGTAAAAACACCAAACCTGAGTTCAAAAAGCATTTGGACAATGCTCTCAGGCACATGGTCTGACTCCTGAGGATGTCCTGTGCAGGGCCAAGAGCTGGAGTCGATGATCCTTCAATGGTGCCTTCCAACTCAGAATATTCTGTGATTCTGTAGAATTTCCTTCTACCCACCTCACCAAAGAATAAACTTTTGCATGACTTGGTTCAGCGTTCATGGACACAGATAGTTTTTTTAGAAGTGTTTCATGCATGTAAATATGTTGACATGGCAACTTTGTAAAATATATGAGAGGGTGTGTCCATTAAGTAACACAAGAACATGTATGTATTCAGGGTTAATAATCTACCTTATCAAAGAAGAAAATATGTCAGACCTAATGCAATGTGACAGAGAAAGAACTTTACAGTAAGTCTTTAAAAAAATACATATAATTATAAAACTGATGCCTTGCTGTGATCATCTAATCTGACTTCTTGTGTACCAAATACCATCAAACCTGATCCAGTCATCAAGTCCACAACTTCCCAGCAGAGAAGTAGCTTTCTGAGAAACTTCAGGCTAGATTTAAAAACATCAGGAACAAAATTCCTGATAATTACTGTTATTTATACTTGTTTTCCTTTTTCTGATTAGCTATGGTGTCCTACTATGCTTTTTTAAAAATAGATCAAAGAAAATTTTGCTTCTAAGTTCTCTTCTTTGTGTAAGTACTTCTTGACCTTGGCAAAGACAAAATCAAATATAACTCAGCTCTTCTTGAGAGCAGGTTTTCTAGGACCAGTGCTGTTCTTACAGCCTTTTTCCTAATTCTGTCCAAGATCTCCATTTTTCTTTGAAGTGATTCAGTGTTTTGTGAGTTTTGTTAATGCCAGAAAAGTAGGAATAACACCTTCTTATGTCTCTACAAGACATTTCTCTGCTTAGTAATCAAAAGACCATGAACACTTTTAACAACTGCAGCATCCTGAGAATTCATTATGAGAAGATAAAGCAGCATTTTTACAGAAGGTTTTCCAGGAAGACACAAGGGCAAGAGTAGGAGGAACTGGCAGTGTGTTGGTTTTTTGATACAGTGGGCTAATCTCCTTTTTTCCTCCATTTCTTAGCCTTCTTTTTCAAACACTGTAATCTGTCTTAAGCATTTGGAAAAGTGTCCTAAGTGCATGTAATTTGGAAAATGGTAGGAGCCTTTCTAAAGTAAGGCTGTAACTCAGTGTCATGATCAAGATGGTCTTGTGTTCCTCCCTGTTGCTCATATAGCTTCTGCCTCCGGATTACTTGGAACATTTCCTTTTCCACACTTTCATGCAACTGTATCACATTAAATGCTTCCACTAGCAATTTTCTTTCCCTTCTACTTGTGCATAATTTCATCCAAGGAAATAGTATGTTTTTCTGAAATATCTTACACATCAAGATATTTTTTAATGATACCATCAACTTCCTGAGACACATTTTTTTTTTCACTTTTCTGTTGTTGTTCTTTTCTGCAATTGCTAGTATTTCTTTTAAGGTGTTGTTTCTTCTCCTCAATGTTAACCTTTCTTTACTTTAGCTGTTCTTTGCTTTTTCTTTAAACACTTATGTTTTCAAATTAACTTTGATCTCTGTGTGTAGGTTGGCCTGGATAATACTGCTTTTTATCTCTGTTGTATATCTGCACCTTTTTCTCCATTAATCTTCCAAACCTATAAATTATTGCGGAACATATTTCTATTTTCACCTCACTGCTTCAGCCACAGAGAATTCACACTGACTTTCAACTTACTATTTTAAATTGTCCAAGACTTTTATCATTCTCAGCTTCTTGAGAAAGGCTGTTAATATTTTAAGGCTATATTTTGAACTCAGAGAAACACCTGTAACTCCAAGTATTTTCAGTGGGAATCTGTAGGCATCTTTCAGAGATGAGTTTGAACTTAGTCCACAAACTAAGTCAAAATACGTTCCAGAGGACGGAATATGTTCTCTCCTCTGTCATATCTATCTATCTATCTATCTATCTATCTATATATACTCTATTATATCATGTCTCATTTTTGATGCATGGGGAACTACATCTTCTTACAAGTTAGGCCTATGAAATAGCAGAAGAACCATCCCATTAAATAATCAAAATTAAGGCAAAAATCTCTTTTAGACTGTCTAGAAATACAACTAAAATGTAAATAAAAAAGGCATCTATACAGAATAATGTTTCTGTCACTTGGCATTTTAAAGGCGTGGATGAATTTTGGGCTAGTGAGAACATTAAAAAGTTGAAATCTTCAGCCTGGGCTCCACTGGGAGGCAGAAGAACTGCTCACAGCCTTGAACATTTTTGATACATGAAAACATCCTTCTCATCCACAAAGCCCTCCAGTGATCTAAGGTGGAGGAAATATCTTTTGGGTATGCACAGGGCATTCTCCACTATAGTATCAGAGGGCAGCCCCTCCTGCATGTATTGAGCATTGTCCTGCGCATAATTACAAACTCCTACCGGATAAATGTATGCTCGATTTGCTTATCCTCAGCTGCATGCTACGTTCTTCAAAAAAACAGGATGTCCAGTGGCACTTCCTAGAAGGGGAGATGGTTCTTTTTCTGAGGAGCAGTGCATGTGTTCAGATGGAGAACAAATGGAGAAGGCAGTCATCAGCCCTCTGTGGCAGTGGCAAGAGTCCTCATCAGGACCAGAAGGGACAGAGCAGAGTTTGCTGCAACAACAAAGGTTTCTGACTTAGCTGAATGTAAGTGTGAATGCAAAGACTTGCATCAGGCAAGGAGACTGTTTATAAGACATTTTTATTGCTAGTCACTTTAAGACTGTGCTACTTAAAAAGCTACTTCAGCTTGCAGTTTTAATACAACCAAGCTTTGGAGACTTAAAGGTTTTTGTTTGGGAACTCACTAGAAGGAAACATCTAAGTGGATAATCTTCAAAGTTTTGGCCAGTTCAATGCCCTTGCTGGAAAATCATTCTCTTGTAACTCTGCATGTTTTACTACTGTTTGACAGCATGGGAAGGAGGAACTCGAGGCCCAGAAATCTGGAAAAGCCAAGTTAGAGAGAATTTAGGGTCTTGATTCCCTGTACATCGACACAATTAATGTAGCATGCAGGTTTGCAGCTCACTGACTGCACAGGCATAGGCACATGGCCCACATTCATTTTGCCTCACTGACCTGAAGTCTCAGTCTCTCCTGATCTGTGTAAGAAGTGTTTCTGCTATGAGATGCCTGAGAATCAGGTCTGTCTCTATTAATTTCTCCATATGATGACTTCTCAAGGGAAAGAAGAGATTCACCAAAAATATTCAGTTTGAGGCCTGCATGGCTCAAGAGCTCTTCAGATGGCAACAGGACTATTTTTCACAATCATACAGTTTCAGACATGGTCTTATTGTTAAATTATGTTTTCCTTGAAGAGAAAAACATTGTTTTATGCTAATTGTGACCATAAAATAAAAAAAGGAATATACAACAATGGGAGAATGAATTCACATGCAAACATACTTTGAAAATAAAAGCGCTAAATTACACTTTATTGCATAAGCTAACTATGTACTCTGCAGTTTTTATAACAATGATATATGGAATTAATACAAATTTTTACAGGCTTGAATGAATTCTGTGCTGAATCAGGGAGGCATTTTTTCTATTTTCTTAAAGTAACTGAAGTGTTGGTTTCTTCATCAAGAGGGGAATTAATATTCCTATGATTGTTTCACACAATTAAGGAATGTGCCATACATAAACAAATTCTTTTCATTGTCATTAGGATATTTTTACCCCATGTTATCTCTGTATTCTGAGACAGCTTGAGTACAGATAATTCTGGAAAATAACCACATTTAAAGAAAAACCTCTAAGTTTTTACTAGCAATCATCATTTGATCTCCAAATCTATTTACTTTTGGGGGTGATACAAATACTGTTTATCCAATGACATGTTTCAAGATTATTTGTCTTCAAAGTGGACTTCAGAGCTCAGGATATCCATTTCTCTCAATTACAGAGTGAACATTCTTAGAACAGACTCAATCTTCTTGGTGTCAGATAAAAGTTAGTTAGATTCAATTATGATTTGGGATTAAGGAGAGACTGAAATGAATGTTAACCATGAACAAATTGTTTAAATTGTCAGATTATGCTGGCTTTGTTGACATCTTTAATAAATCAGATAGGGTATTTGCATTTTTCTATTCAGAATGGAATCTACTGAATATTTAAGAGATCTGTGTTTGCATTTCCCTAAAATTCTATAGTAGATAAACAAAGCATAATCACCCTTTCCCTGTGCCAAACCTGACCACCTGAAGAGATACTGTACCGGGAAAATAATAGTGTCTTGGCTTTACTCCTGGTTCTATAGTAACATTTCCTAAAAGTAAAATTGATAGCATTTAAATTTAAGAACAAATGACAGATTAATCATAGTTTGAATAGGAGATGAGCTCCTTTGAAATTCTTACTACAGTTGTTCAGCCCTTGTAAATCTGCCCTTGATTTTTGAAATGTTTATTACTCCCTCCAACCTAGACACAGGCTCAAAAGAATTGTTTTTAATAACAATGGTAGTAATTTCAACACAGTCCCCTTATTTTTCTCGATGCCTTCTTTTGAACTCAAAACAGAAACACAATTTAAATAATCCTTAAAATTTTTTACCTTCTTGAGACAACATTTTTATTAATATAGGAGTAAATAATCCTCAAAAAACCCCTATTTTGGTATTTAGTTTATATGAAAAATAATTGGTCACTTACTTCCATGATTTTATTCATGCAGACTTTGAAATCTATTTAAGGGAACAAATATTCGTCCATGGTCCATTGATAAGGACCACCTTATATTCACATTGTACAGACAATCACACTTGCATGGACCTTCCATGTCCATGATATACATCAGGTGGCACGTGCGGTTGCATAGAGTTTGTTAGCCCAGAACATTTGACTCCTCATAACAAGAAGGCCCTCTGACACAAACCACAGCTTCTCATCTATTTAACACATGACATCACCCTGCTCATACAGCCCATGGGAGATGACCACCCTCCCATGCAGGTCTATGGGCCATATTTATCTTACATCTCTGGAGTGTATTGCCTGCTGCCATTCTGTAGTATCTGAAAGCCTTGGCATGATGTGGCTCATCCTTCAGAAAACGGTTCAAGTAAATGGGAAAGGCCTTGTGAGCATACAACAAAACTCCAGGGTGTTGACTCCTACAGTGGCCACAACCAGATATGCTCAGAGAATGTGAGAAGTTAAAAGCTAGTAGCACTTCCAAAACAACGCTTTTCTCACCTCCAACACAGGGGACATCATAAGAAAAATGTGATTATATCTAATAACTTTTGATGGTTTTTTTTCTAATGTGTCCAGTTGCTGTTGAAAGACGTTAACTTTCACAAGATGCTGTAGCAAGGCATTTCACAGAATAATAACTGGCTATTCCAAGAACACTTGACTTTTATTTACTTTGGGCCTACCATTTTCCAACTTCATTTCATTCCCCTAAGCCCTCATATAGATAAAGACTTTGATCAGTTAGTATCCACCCTCTCAGTGTCACTCTTTATCCTACAGCCTCCTTAGTCTTCCTCACTCATCTCTACCAGTGTCTAGGTCCACTTAGTTCATCTCATACAGAAATTGTTAATTGCTGGAGGAATCAACTGTGTATCACCAGCAGGAAACGGGGGACATATTTACTGGAGTTGTTTCCCAGCATCTCATGTTTTTGGTCAAGACCACAGCTCTGAATAGTGCTCTTTTCCTTTTTCCTGAGGACTGCAGGAGCAGTTCCCACATGAGGCAATGAACCATGACACACAAGTGGGAGGGAAGCACTGGGTTCAGGACTGCCAGGAGAGTAGTAGAGCATCACAGAGTGTCACTCAGGATTCAGAGGCTGCAGTAAGGATGCATCCCACTCTCAGTCACCAGGGAGGTGACCTAGGACAGAAGGGTTGTTGCTGAGAAGAGCATGGCAGTCCTAGCTCTATGTCCCTTTCACACAGGTGATGAGGTTTAGTGGAATTGGGATGTAGTGGCTCCAAGCTTGTCTCAACCTCTTGGTTCTGTGCTCTTGCAGTGCTTATCTCCCTTTCAATAAAGGCTGTTCCCTTGGCTCCTTTTCATGGCCTACTGAGGTATTATTGCTAGACAACTTTCTCAGATAGGAAGAGTGAGACATAAGGGTTCACCTTATGGAAGGAGTTATTCTCTGTGTCAAAACCACATTTTCCTGCAAGCAGAACTACTTGCATTTTTCAAGAAGAAACTGCGATCAAACTAACAAGTCTGTGGTATGGACATCCAGGACCAGAGACCTGTAGAGAAACAGAAAGAAAAACAACATAACAGTGAAGATGAGCCAGCCTCATTTCAAAATGCTACAGAAAGAGAAAAACAGACAGACTGGCACTTACATGACCTTTAAGCCAGTATTTGTGTGTGGCAAGATCTGTCTCCTAAGACCAAAAAGGCATTGAGTTCTCTATGCCCTCACTAGCTCTCTGGCTTTTCCTGGGGAAATGACCAGCTATCAGTGAGTATACCTGTGCACTTATATTTTACACTTGCACCCTAATTTTGTCTACCTTCTATTCTGCTTTTATTCCCTCTGCCTTTTGTCATCCTCACATTTTCAGAATCAAAATAGGAGATGGAAAAGAGAGCTAAACACTCTTAACTGCACACACAGGATTAGGGCCACAAAACAAACACGAATTTAAGAACTGAATAAAATCCTATAGGAGTTCACATGATAATTTTTCTAGTGTGATTGCTTTTATTAAATTGGCATGATTATTTTGTGTGGGTTTTTTATAGGAAGAGTTTTCCCTACAGTTCTCAAGAATTAAATGTCAAAATGGGTGTGCAGGGAAGGAACCCATTAAGTGTTGTCAAACAAGAATGTTTCATTGGCTACTTCAAAGCCAGTTAATGTCAAATACTTTGATGAAGGGACCTATGCATGCAAAACAGAAATCAAGAGGCTGAATGGCCCCTACAACCTTTTTTTGCACTGAGGTTGCTTGTTTAAAGCAAGTTCCGGTCAAGAATAATTGAACTCAGTTCAAATTAGATTGTTGCTCCTTAGGTCTGTGAAATGAGGTAGATGATCACAGTCCACTTCCCATTAGCCTGTCTGCTTTGCTAAAACCACCTGCACAATTGAAACTAATTGGTGCCCTCAATCGCAGTATCAACAGAGAGGATGCAATTAAATAGTAATGCATCATGAACTATATCCTCCCCTTAAAGACATGATACCTTTAGACACTTTTAGTGAGCAAGCTTGTCTGGCTGGCACTTGGAGTGGGGCTGAATTTACACCAGTGGGCTGCCAGTCAAGATCCAGTCACAAGAAGAAATGTAAGCCTGTGCACAAATGAACATTAATAAGGATACATTTATATAGGCAGGCCTGGAGCAGTGGAAAACACACACTACTCTATTTGAGTTGAAGGGATCAAAGTGATATGAGCCCTAGAGCTACCAAAAGGACATCAGACATAAATCTCATGAGGGACTCCAAAACTCCCTTTCCTCCAGGGACTCATCCAAAGTCAACGCAGCAATAAAAAGCAAGTGGCATTGACTCATACAGCAGCATATTTAGAGCAGACTGTACAGTGCTGCTGCTGGTAAGGGCAGCCTCTGACCAACTACTGGGCTGCTTTCACCTGTCAGTGGGAGTCAGACCACAGAAATCTGGTGCACTTCTGGCAGAAACAGTTCCTCTTCTAGGCTCTCTATTGTTGTTACTGAAAAGGACTTATCCTAAAAACAAATTGCACCTTGGCTTAGAGTACTGGTTACAGCCTTCACCAAGCAGTTTTCTCATCCTTCTCACTGCTCACAGACTTCTGTTGCTGACTTGGCATATCACAGCTCTGTCAGGCAGCACACATAGTTCTGTTATAGCACCCTCCCTCCGTTTACTTCCTTCCTTAAAAAGGAGTGCTCTGAAGATTTCAGGATTGCTGCTGCTGCCCTCTGATTGCTGCTGCTGCCCTCTGATTCCCTTTTCTCTAAAGATAGCCCCACCATCTTCTAATCCTACTACTGCCAGATCAGCTGGTGGTGTAGGTGCTGTCATTGTCCAGGATACACAAACAACCTTTCTGTAACCAAGAATAGCATCTTCTAATTGACTGGCTTCTTCAGACAACTGTCTCATACAACTCATCATGAAACTTGTGGCATGTAGAGCTTGGTGAAGTATCCTGGTTTTGACTGGGATAAAGTTAATTTTCTACTTAGTAGCTGGTACAGTGCTGTGTTTTGGATTTAGCACAAGCTTAATTTTGATAATACACTGATGTTTTAGTTGTTTCTTAGCAGTGTTTCCTCTAAATCAAGGATTTTGCAGCTTCCCATGCTTTGCCAGTGAGTAGGTGCACAAGAAACTGGGAGGGAGCACAGCCAGGACAGGTAACCAGAACTGGTCAAAGGAATATTCCATGTTCAATATACAAACTGTGGGGAGTTGGCCAGAAGGAGATGATCACTGCACAGGGACTGGCTGGCCATTGGCCAGAAGGTGGAGAGCAATTGTTTTGTTCATCACTTGTTTTTCTTGAATTTCACTCATTTTCTCCCTCTCCTTTTCATTACAAGCATTTTTATTATTATTGTTTCAAACAAAATTATTATTTTTGTTTTTATTACCACTAGTATTATTATTAGATTTTCCTATCTCAACTCATGAGTTTTATCTTCTTCCAATTCTCCTCCCCATCCTGCCAGAGGGGGAGTGAGTGAGCAGTTCTGTGTACTTAGGTGCTGTATTGGGTTAAAGCAAGACAAGTGGGAAGGTGAATGGGGCCTGAGTGAAGTTTGTCCTCTGTTCTCTTTAATCAAAATTACTCGACTCTGACCAGTTGGATTCATCTTGCTCTCTGCTGTGCTGCTCCTCAAAGGGCAGTGTGTAAGAAAGGCATGAGCGAGTCATTCAAGGGCTGTATCTTAAGGAGTTGTTTTGTAAACTCATCAAAAAAATATGTTATTGGCTTTTACAGATATATAAGCCCCTCTGCTTCTATGTTAATCTTTTTAATATGGAAGTTTGTACTTTGAATTTCTACAGGGTGCCTTTTTTTAAGGACTGTAAAATGATTAACAGGCACCAACAAAGAAAACTTCATACCATAGCTGGAAGAGAAGCAAAATTTTCTGCTTGAGTAGTTATTTTTCCCTCTCTCCAGGCCAGTTTGGAGTTCAGATCATCAACTCTAGAGCCAGGACTGAATGCCAGCCATCCTTCCCTGCACTCTAACAAATATTAAACATTTGCTCTAGCCATATTTGATGCCTCAAAGGGATTGATGCTCTGCCACGGCAGAGAGAATCATTTACTCTATTGTTCTGCCTACAGATATGACAGTTCAAAGCACACTACTTTGTGCTTCTTCAGATTTTCCTGTGTTTGTTCAATAGAGAATTGCTACTCACTGACAACCTCTGTTCAATAGCATAAAATATCTGTGACACAGCTGGAGTGATATCTGTTGATGTATCGACATGCACAAGCCACGAAGTAGTTCAAAACAAATTGTAAAAAGCAACTTCTGATTCCAAATAATGACTATGCAAGACAGCGTTAGCTCTCAGATTGTTGGTTTAAGATGCATCAGACGTGCGGTGCTCTCTAGGATGCACATGAAGGCCAGATTTCTCAGAAGTGATTAGAGTGCACACCTGCTCCTGATGTGACTCTTGCAGTCAAATTTTCAGATGACTCATTTAGCAAACTGATGTGCTTTGAAAGTTCAGCCGTGGGTATGGAAGATAAATTGATTTGAAGCCCCTACTCTTTTTTATAAAAAGGAAAAGTCAGAGGTCAACTGCAAATTGCTTTTCCTTAAAAAGAAAGAAAATTCTTCACTTCTGAAGAGATGGTGCATTAAGCACCTGTGAACTTTCCCTCACATGCACATCCTGATTACACTAGCATACAGAGATGTTTAAATTTATGAGTTTTCTAAAGCATAATTCTGCTCCTGATTATTGTGTATTTTAAAAATTTAGTGTAGGGAAAAAAAATCACCAAAGCCAGAAAAATAAAAACGTGAAAAAATTGCCTAGATTTGCACATGAAAAATCCCCCACATTAAAAAAGTGAATGTCTAAAAAATAGTTCTAAAATTCATCCATTCTACAACTGAATGCTTATGCGTTTTTATTTCTTTAATCTTTATTTCTTTAGACCTTAGCATGATTTTCTTTTCAGCTGACAGTTTCTTTCATCTGCCCTGTAGTAAGTGTAGAGGGTATCCTCTGGTGATTGTTTAGCTGCTGGCACAGAGCTAAACAATGGCATCAGAAGTGCAAGTATGAGTCAGCTGTGGCAATGCTCCTGCTATTTGGAGTTTTGCGTAAGGAACTACTGCTGATTTATTTCTCAAGGGTCATCAAACATAGAGTCTGCAAGCAGTAATAACTTTCTTATAGCTCTCCATTCCTGTAGCAGTGCAGAAAAAGAAAGAAACAAGTCCATTGTTCATTTCTTTCTTGGATTGGTTTATTGAGTAAAATGTTCCTTCTACCAGGGTTACCAAACTATATTTCCCCAATCAACAGATCTGTGTCTTCAGTCCTATCAGTTCAGAATAGATATGAGAAGAAGTTATGTTTACTGATATTTTAATTTTAAAAATAAAAATGCTCCTGGATAGGTACATTTATACTAGCAATGCAAAAATTTATTTTTACAAGACTCCTACATTCTTGTTTGCATTTCACAATAGAAATGAAAAAACCCCAAAATTTTATCTACTACTAAGACTTAGAAAACTGTTGAAGGCAAGTACCTTCCAATCAAATGTAGCTTTAGTTGGGATCTTACTAGAAGATCATACATCACTTTGCAAGACATCATGAACTTCTTAATTAAAGAACAAAATCTACATTATGCAATCCTGAGCATCCTGATATTCATGTTTAATGAATATATACACAGCATTATTCAAACCTATTCTACTTTGACTAAATTCCTTTTTTAAGAAAAATACACTGAAATCTAATTGTTCTTTAAAGAACTCCAGACACTGCAGCAAAAAAAAAAAAAACCTGATCAACTGTTTCAATTTAAAGAACACACAGTAAAGCCATTAGAAAATAAAGCTATGTGTCTTTATAATACATAGAAATAAATTAATTAAATCATCCAGAAAAAATAACACCAGCAAATCCATAGATTAATGTAGAAACTTGGAAATATAAAGGATAAAGTATTTCAACCTAAAATAAAATAAACAGCAAGAGGCAGTGAAATGTTGTCTTAGTCTCAAAAGCCTTATGTTACCCATTTATTTTGTACTGAGTCCATTTATTTTTCTCTCATAATCTTCCCTCTGTGCATTCAGTGCATAGTAAACAGTATAACATGAACTGTACCATGCTGCATTTAAACTTGAGGGTGCCTAAACTTACCTGTGATTTTTAGAGGCAAGGGTTATATTCAGTTTGGGAAAATTCTCTTTCCATTCTTTCTCCTCCCATTAGCATCTAAAATGTCATTTGTGAGTTGGCTTTCCCCCCAGTTTATTGACCATCCTCGTGGTAAAAGGAAGAAAGCTGAAAGATAATTAGATTTTGAGTCTGGATGAGTAATTTAAAGAGCTTTGCAAGTCTGACTCCAGGATATATTTTATGTCACCCTCAGCTTTGTTCATTCAGTATAAAAGGCTGCCTATTACAAGACAAGATGGCTCAACTTCACAGAACTATGGAAGGGCAAGGGGGTGGCATACTCAGAGCTTAATTATGTCAGCCTTAATCTGAGTTCCATCATCATAAGTAAGTGTAACTCAACATGTTTAAAGTCGAAAAAACTGATCTTTCAGTAAGCAAAAGCAATGAATTACTTAAAAAAGATGCTGGCTAAGTGAAATCAATAGTAATAAAACCATTTATACCAGGAAATGTCCACTTCAACAAAAAAAAACCAAACCAAAGTAAAACAAAACAAAGCACCTCATCTTGTCAAAACATACTGTGAAAAGGACACATTTCCAATTTTGTCACAAATAAAGTAACAATTTAGACAAAAAACACCCAAATTTTTTTATAAAATGTTAGTTACCATGAAACCCTGAGGGGTAGTATATCTTCTTTGCACCTGCAACAAAGAGAAAGCAAAATAGCAGGAAATCAACAATTTTGGCATAGAAAATGGTTGCCCAGAAAAGCAGTGTTTTTTTGAGAAACGTGATGTTGTGTGCAAAAAGTTCCTACTGATCTAAATTTGACCATGGCATGCAGATGCTGTATTCTCAGGTAGGGAGTCTAAGGAAGCTGCAAACTACTGAATTCCCCTCAATCCCCTTTTCCTGGTTACGTACCTTTACCTCGAACATTTTTTCACATTCCCCAAAGCTTTCATTTTTTTTCTATACTTATTAACTGCTATGAGGTCTTCAGTCTTCTCTTAGTAATTCTCCAAAACTTGTAATTCTCTCTACGCCCTCTAGACCTTTCATGTCATTCTTACCTTCTCAGTTCTCTTAGGTCTTCTAGTAACAAAAAAGCGTGATTCACCTCTTTAAAGTTTAGCTATGCAAAAGTTCAGCTGTCTGAATCAGTCACCCTTGAGTCACTCTGTTTGTAGAAGCAGACAGATCCAAAAGGTGATGTGTCTGCTCTTAAGACGGACAGCTTATTTTGATGTTAATTAACCTCTAAACAGATAAAATCAGGCAAGATGGATACTACTGACAAGGTCTATAGTTTACCAGATCCAGCCTTTCACCCTTTTTTCATATCATATTTGCAATTCAGTTAAAAACTGGCACTATAAACCCACTACAGGGAAACTTAGATGCAAATATATTTACTTCATTTACTTGGAGTACTTTTATGAAGCACTTTTTTTGTATAAATAGTTCAAATCTCATTGCCTTGTTTTACTTTGATATTGGATTACATTCATGTCTAATTTGCTGTCCTCTGTCTTCCCTAAGGTCTCTTTAAGCTTTACTCTCTTTCTATCCTACTTAATATATGTTTCCCAGTTTATTTTCTTTGTCATGCTTTAATTCTCATTTCTGCCATCTGAAACTCCTTTTACTGTACTGGAGCCCTTAGGCCTTTTTTTCCTTCTCTCCTTTATATCCCTTACGATATAATTCATGTCCTTGAAAACACATTAAAAGAATGATATATCTTGATCCTATGTTCAAACTAGATTTTACCCTAATCAAGAAATTATATAGATTTGGCAAACTACTCAAATGTTGTTGTTGGAAAGTGAAGCTTTTGATGGAAATGGTGATCAAAACCTCTTTAACTGAAATTCATCACATATATCACAGGCAAGCAGAGCTGGGCAAAACATTTCTGAACAATTCTAATTCCGATTTATTTTTCAGCAGCAGACTGGTTTATTTGCTGTAATATGCTAAAATTTCTATGGACAGCTGGAATGTGGGTTTAGACAGCCTTTGTACTGTAAAGTTCATTTCTGCAGTGGGGAATAGGAGAAGGTATTTTCCTCAGCCTGAAGAATAAAATCTTAAGCCAGAATAGTGAAGATCAGATTTGAGGAAACCTAGTGGGGGGAAAAGCAGAGTTCATCGTAGCGAAGTCTGTTGGTCAAGACTATACATAAGTGGATTGTCTTTACCTGTCACGTTGGAGTTCTTTGGCAAATCTGAAGAAAAAGAGGTCAGAATTATTTCCTATTGCACTCATAATTTCATGGTATTTAATGGATGAAAACTACGAAAAACACCAGGAATACTATGAGTTGTAATTTCATCATGGTATCACCACACACTTGCAATACATAACACATAGATGTGAGAACTGGAAATTATAGTATAACCATTGTCAGTGTTGCTGGTTAGCTGCAGACCTCAGGTGAACCGACAGTGGGTGGCATTCAACACACTGCCTGCAGTCTTTCACAAAAAGGTGAGAACTGACTTTATGAGGAGGGGTTTTGTTGGTGTTTTAAATTTGAAACTCAAAACACTGCTAAAGGTAGGTGTCAAAAGCTAGTACTATGTTATTTTGTCCTTTTAGTTTTGTCATTAGACTTCACGGCATCCTTGTTCTTAGGAGCAAAGGCTTATCACAGAGAAATACTGAAATACCTCTTTTCTCCACTCTTGCATCAGAATCAAAGGCAAAGCTTCCATCTCAGGTGTCTCCTTTCACCTATATAATTGTATAGTAAAGTGGGGAGTACCAATGTGAAGAAAGATGAAGGTGAATATGAAGTAAAAAGTCTGTAAGAAAATGGTTACAGAATTATAAAATTAAGGAATTCAAATTACTTGTTATCTTCCTCTCTTAAGAGTAACTTATATTTTGTTAAGAAATGAAATTTAAACATTCTATTTAAAATAAGTAAGGTGATTGCCATATTTGAGAACAAAGAATGGGAGAAATTAGCCATCTCACAGAGTTCATTTTCTCAAATTTCAGGCAGCCATTCCACAGCTCTCTCGTTTGAGAGGAGTCTGAAAACATCTATACCAAGTAATAAAGGATAAAAAGTCTTCCCAATACTCCATCAGAAAGCCAGGCCTGAACCATGCCCTAAGTAAAAGCAGGAAGAATCTTGCTAATACCACAGGTCCCTGTGCTTTAGCTGCTAAGTAAAACTCAGAGAGAGTGCTAAGATAGACACAGACTGCAAGACTGATGCTAATTTAAATTCAGGAAAGAATTTCTCCTGAGCTCATACCTGGCAACGGGTTTTACACAGACTGTGTGATCGGGGCACAGCAACCAGACATTTAAGGATGTAATGCCATTAAAGGTACAATTTCACCCCATCTATGTTCACTTGCTCAGCTCCAAGGCTTCAGAGGACAGTGAATGCTGACCCTAGAGGCCAAATACAGATCACAATAGGAAACTGATAGCTTTTTTCTAACCAGTGCTGAAGAGAAACTCAGCAACATGGACACGATTATATGATTTTCTGGCAAGAGCGTTTCTAAGGGACCTCTTTGGGAATACTGGCACACCATGTGTCTGAAAACTGTCGCTGCAAACTCATGCCCTGGGACAAAATAACTTTCCAGGATCCTGTGGTAAATCTCACTCCGAGAAATGTCCTATTTAATTATGTGATCCCTTTTCAAAGCATATCACATTACTTATAAAACAGTTTAAATTACTCAGTTCCCTTCCTCTTTTGTCAGATAGTTTCATAAACATGCTTCTTGGATGGATAAGGAACCTTTTGCCAGTTTCCCCTCTAAATTTATTCATGGTCAATTTATAATCATTTGATCTTTTGCCAATACCATCCTTTAACATAAATAATAATTCTCCTTCCTTAATATTTACCCCTGTAGCATGTCATTCATTCATTTAATTCACTTAGTTGAAAATAATCTTAATAAATGGGAAAATGTTGTAGCTATAAAATGAAAATGCACTATGATGACCTTTACTAAAGTCTGGCACTAACCTGATTTTATTAAGTATCAGAAACATTATAATAGATATTAAAATGTAGTGATATTCCCACATTATGCAAATCTATCTGGACTAATTTAAATTCTTTTTGTCTTTACTCTTCCACCTTTTTCTACATAGCTGAGTTTCACAAATTAGGAAGTTTCAATATTAAGCCTAGATTTTTAGAAAAGCATTTGCATATTTCTGTCTGCAAAAAAAAAAATGTGAAATATATGTTCAGAAAGTTCAATGGCTTATGTAACTGATCAGCTATTTCTGCAGTGTGTCTTTCAGGTAATAATTATCACAGTTGTCTGTACAAATTAGTTACTTCAAGGTATACACATTTTGCACCTACTCAGAAGAGAAATTGAAATCTGGACCATGCAATTAGTAAGTCTGCCCAAATCTGCCAATGCTATTAATATGTTCAGTAAACTAAATACTCATCAGCAAACTATTGAATTTCTGCTTTTTGCTTTTCTGTGGTTATTACACCTACACTGAAAAATTTTCATTACCTGCACAGCAAGTTGAGGGTATCATATGTCTGACCCGTGCTTTTTTATATAAGAGTACTGTCAAGTTTGCCTTGTGTATGTACTTCCTATATATGTATATAAAAGAATATATATAGGTATGCATAGGAATAGGTATATATAGGAATAATACCAGTAAAACTGTTTGGTGAAAAGATTTATTCCTTTGACTCAGAGAACCTGAAAACCTAGGGTTTATGATGCTGTGAACTGATGAAAAAGATTAGGATTCTTTTCCAAATGTCATGTCCTTAAGGCCATTGTTTCACTTGGAGTCAAAATAGAAATATGTATTGCCGAGAAATTTGACCACATCACAGCCTTTGACTGTAGTATTGTTCTTTGTACTGAGAGCAGAAGGATTTGTATATTGAGACAACAAAGCCCATTTATCAACATACATGACCTCTAGGATGTCTTCACAAAGTCACACCGTGGTTGAGGTTGGAAAGGACCTCTATTGGTCCAACTCCCTGCTCACGCAGGACCATCTAATGCAGGTTGCCCAGGGCCAAGTCCAGACAGCTTTTTAATTTCTCCAAGGGTAAGATTCCACAGTATGCTTGGTCACCCTCACAGCAAAAAAGTGTTTTCTGTCTTTCACATTGTGTCCATTGCTTGTTGTCCCAGCATGAACTTGGGACAGAGCATCCTCTTTTCAGCCTTGTGATCTGTAGCAGGTGTGAGGAAGAGACACTTGTGACACTTTTCACTGCTGGTAAAAGGCATGTTCTTCCCCATGAGCAAGTTTCCAACTTTCTCCGTAAGCATATTTCTCCAAGCTACATATGTAAGGCTGAGTATTACACTGCACTACCCTGCAGTGTTGCTGACCACATGTCCTTGGAGCTGTACTGAGTTATGTTCATTGTATCTAGCAGGAAATTTCTTCCTATGCAGTCAATTTCTTCCTGGACTGTAAACCATACAGAAAATTGGACCTCGCCACGTTTTAGGGACAGAAAACATTCATGAACAAAAAAAACAACAACAACAACAAAAAAAAAAAAAAAAAAAAAAAATATGTGTTTTAGTATAAAGGACAAAATATTAACCCATGTGATCCTCTAGCAAAGAAAATAGCACTATCATATTCCAAGTGGTAAAATTGTTAGGTACATAATATCATAAGGGTAAGTAACCTTCTCTGGCATCAGCTGAGTTTTCTTCTTTTACACCCTAGAGTTTCTCTTTGACA